CCCGGTTAATAACTAACTTCCCCGCAGGCGCACACCCAGAAGAAAGTCCCCTTCCCTTAGAGATAGCGCTCTCCCCAAGGTGACGGGCGGCGCAGCAGAGGGCGGACGGGGGAGACCAGCCCGTCAGAACCGGGGGACTGCTCGCCGTGAGCCCGAATGCCGGTGGGATATTTTTCGGGCTTCGCCAGGGACGGTTCCGCGGATCATCCCCCCCAGGGCCCGAGAAAAGGGGCGCTCAAAACCGTTCGTCGACGCGGAAGTACGCGACTAAAGTTCGACATGGTTGATGTCCAGGTCAGCAGTGGTGAGCAATGCCAAAATCGAATTCCGGTGTTTTGGCGTCAAGAGTCAGGCCACAAGATAAGATAATAAGTGGTTTAACTTGTGTTTCGACACTCGATTGATGCAGTCCCACCCCATGCGGGGGGGTAAATACCGGGCTTAAAGCCCTTTCTCCTCCTGCGTTAGTACCACGGCCGCTCGATTAAAGACGCCGCTCAGCTTGAACTTGAACTTTATTGCCATATGTAACCGGTACATGTACTGGTACAATGGAATTCTTACTGACAGAAAGTCTCTCGATTGTTGAAACAAGTGTAAAAACACAAAGTGCAGACAGTATACTGTAACGCAACGGGGGCTCAGGCAGGCGCCCTTGCCGCATTAGGTCAGCCCCCCACCGTCGGGGGCTTGAACCCGGGACTCCTGCCTCACTCGGCAGGGACCCAGCCCAGTGAGCCAAAGAGAGATCTCTCCACAGACCCCTAGCTGTGGTCCTGCTATCACAGGGAAGGGCGGTGACGTCACCTGCTCTGGTAAGCCGGCTCTTACGGTACCTGTCGGCCGTAAGCGTTACAATACAAACAAACAGTAGACAATGTACAAGTAAACAAATAAACAGTTTGAATGTAAACAATGCAGACGTGTAAACAATGACTGGAGATGTGCAATAAGTAAGAAATCATAATGAGGTAGATGGTGTGGTCCGAGGGGGATGGCTAAATGTGTTCGCCAATCGCGCTGCTTGTGGGTAGAAGCTATTGAGGAATCTGGTGGTCAGTGTCCGTATGCTCTTGTATCTCTTGCCTGAGGGCAGTGGGGTGAAGAGCTCATGCCCGGGGTGGTGACTGTCCTCTGTGAGCTCTGTGCGTCAAGACCACACGACGTGAGGCTCAAGTAGGTTTCCTCTTGTAGGTTTAACTTAGGTTTAATTTTTCTGTCAGGTTGGTTGGGGATCATTGACCAGAGCTGACAATTGAAAATTGTATTTGTATTACAGTACACGTAAAAACACTGTATATTTATAGTATATGTAGATTTAAATTATATGTGTTATATGTAGTCTTGAATTGCCCCCTTGGGGATGAATAAAGTATTTTGAATTGAGCATACATCATGTACAGTAGAAACAGTAGGGTGACCATAGTTTGGTTTTCAAAAAAGCGGAATTTCAACTCTCTAGTTTTAATTGAACTTCTTAGTAAACGTTTAAACAGTTGCAGGGTTGCTATTTCTCTTCTATAATGGCAAACAAGGGAAAAAACAAAAATACAGCCCTATTTTAAACTTAAAGTTTTTTTTTCCCATTTAAACGCAACAAAAGTCAGAACATCTGAGGAAAAAAACGAAGACATCGTACCTTAGGAGAAGTCCTCATCGGTTGCGATAATGATAAATTTTAACGAAACATTTTGAAAGGTAGTGAAACAAGTCAAACATTGTTA